CTTTAATATTCGGCAACCTACTGAAAATTGTGTATTTATTACAGACGAACAAATTATTCGAGCAGATGGAATTCTATCCCTGAGGCCCCGATGAAGGTGGGCATTCAGGGTTGCAGGTAGGGCAGTTGTCCAGGCAGTCACTCCGCCTCTTGAAACACTGCTTGGCACCATTATTCTGGCAGCAGTAGCACGTAAAACGGAGCCCATCTGAGAAATGGCAAAAGTAACGGCGGACGCAAAATTGCAAGGTTATCTTGCTCTCGCCTGCAGACGTCGACTTGACGATGGTAGCGTTGCTACTTGTGTTCGCCGCATGACCATCTTGGTTGACGACTATATGCTTATTATCGAGACCACCTAAATGTTATATTTAACATTAGTATGCAGTACCTCAGACGTACTCTATATGTTATGTATGTTCCGAAAAATTAATTGCAAGAAATTACTAACACGAGATGCTAATGACGGTGATGATGCATGCAGTAGTACTTACACTGTGCACACGCGACAAGGCATCCGATGAAGAATATCATCGTCCCCTGCACTAGGCTGCTCCCTCTCATATTGGCAAATCTCTTGCTTGACAAACTCAGTTCTAGTCGCGTGTAAGGTTCCGGTTAGAAATAGTTGGAGCCCTAGTAGGAAGAAAGAAAGAAATAGTTGGACTCCAAATGTGTGGGACAAGGACTGCAAGTTTATAAATAGCAAGAGGCCGGGATATATTTTAAATGGGAATGCAAAGATTTGCAAGCGCACGATATATAGTTCTTTATTCTCGAGATTTTTGCTCATATTATTCAGCGAGACAAACATTACGTATACATGGAATCTTGGATCCTTAATGATTTCCAGGAGCGCAGTCCCAATGCACTTTATTTTAAGCTACTCCATCCGTCCGGATGCATATTGTGTCTAAAATCATCTTTTTTTCAAACGAGGAATATATTAATATCGCGAACCAATTACACCCAGCCTCTGCACCAACAAGATGTCGAAAGGCATTCAAGATGCACACAGCCTGAAACTAACATAACATGTCATGAGCTGCCACAGAGTTTCTGATTTCCACATCATTGCAACCCCACTAACAATTGCCCAACGAGATTGAAGCACTCCGAATGCCCTCTCCACATCTTCCTAGCTACTTACTGCATTGCTGGAAAGTGGCTTTGTTTCTTGCCATGTTGTTCGGAAATAATGGTCTTCACAAACGCTGCCCACTGAGGATAGATGCCATCGGCAAGATAGTTTGTAGTCATGGCCGTTGTTGGTGTAGTTGCACAATGGCGATTCCCCATTGCAAAGCCTCCTGAAAATTGGAGATTGTTGAAGCACGTTGATGTCGTGTGAGAACCCGGCATTTCAAAGAAAGCATGGCAAGTCTATAAGTCATGTGATGTCACTGCTTGTAGTGTGATAGTGGCCTCTTTGGTGTGCCCTTGATATATTCCGTGCAAACCCTTGGGGTAGTTCTTCCATTGTGAATGCATGCAATCAATTGATCCGAGCTTCCCTGAAAACCCTCTGGCCTCTCTAATAGCCAACAATTTCTGTGTTTTGCGCATTTGGTTCTCTCAGATACTCTGCTCCAAACACCTCACCATGGCGCGGGCAAACTTGACACTAGTCTTCACTCTTCAGGCATGTGCTCTCCCCCATCCTGGCCATCTCACCAACGGCATCTGTGGCAGTACCAACTGCAAGTATCCTTAGGGCAGACATGCTTCTGCTTAGCAGAGAAAAAGAGTTTGCCGCAGCAATCCCTTGTGAGCTTGAAGTAGTCATCGTGTGCCTTCACTCCCTCCACAACGCGCAAGGTTCGAAGTAAAGTAGTCCTGCTACAGTAGCCGTGCTCCGGACACCCTATCCCGATTGATCACTCTTCTCCCTTTGATTGAGCCATTGAAGTTAAGAATATGCTCCACTTGCAGGTCCATTTCCTCTTGCATGCTCATGAGTATGGTCATGTCCACTTCTTCGCCCGAATCCGAGGAATAGAAGAACTCATCTTGTATCATTTGGTCAAGCTCCGTCGATCCATACTCCTCATCCGAAGAACCATCGGAATTCATCATTTTTCCTACAAAAATCCACGTCGGACAATGTGTCGAACACAGAGTGCAAGGGGGAGCCTGGTAGTTGCCGGACATACCACGTTCACATCCGGGCCGCGCGACGACGTCCTCGACGGCGAGGACGGGAGAGAGGAGTGCGGTGCCGGTGCTGGCGGTGCAAAGGCTTGGAAAGGCGGCGGAGCGCGCGCGACGACGAAGCTGCGAGATGGAAGGCGCGGAGGAGGAAGAAGAGAGGAAAGAGCAAATGGATGTGGTAGGTTGAGGGGGTGGATTTGATGTAATTTGAGGTGGGGTAGGTCTATCAGTTCCGGCGTGGCGGACGCGTCCAGGTGCCCCCATATCTGCCCATATTTGGACTGTATGAGGGGTGCCGGTCAGCCCGGCCGTTTGAGGTCCGTTTGAGGCACTCATCTAAGTCGAATTTTCATGACCGGGCCGTCCATCCAAGCGTTTGAGATGTCCGGATGTAGATACTCTAATTGTCGGTTGGACGTATAAGAGGACGGATCTACATCAACCAATGATGTAAAAACAAAAAATAGTAATAACACACGGACAATTATCTAGCATCCTCAAAAGCACAGATAATAAAATTAGAGTGTCATCTAGAAAAAGATACATCCACCTCTACGACAAGTATTTCCGGACAGGGGAGTATAATAAAAAATCAATGTCATGGAACAAGTGGCAGCACATTGGAAAAATTTGCAGTCAAACCCGGGTCTATTGCTTGGAAGGCAATTATCCTAACCGTTGGACTACAGACGCATTGGTGGCACTAATTTAGATGGAAGTATATTTATCAGGGAAGTTGCTGTTTTCACACTATGAATCAGCCAATATTTTTGCGCTTGCTCACGGAACGCACATCGACAAAAACAGATAACTATTTGATGCCCTCATCTACTAACGATGCGTTTGGTTCGGCCCAAGTAACGCATTCGGTTTGCCGGACACGCCGCTTCCGATTAATTTTATGCAATACGTTTTTTTTAAAACCATCTCATATACTATTACTTACTTCCTCCGTCCTTTAAAGAGTGTACTTCTAACTTTGTTGAAAGGTCAAACTATCTCAATGTTTGACCGAGTTTATGCAAAAATATATCAATGTTTGTGAAACTAAATAGGTATAAGATGAAAATATATTTTATCATGAATCTAATGCTACTAATTTGATGACATAAATGTTGGTATATTATTGTATAATTACGGTCAAACATAAAAATGTTTGACTTTCCAACAAAGTTGGAAGTACACTCTTCAAAGGACGGAGGGTTATTACAATCACTCATTACAAAAGTCACCACACGGGCCGGACCATCATTAACAAGAATATCATCTGACCTATTGTCAAAACTATACTTAACAAGAATACCATCTGAACGATTAATCTTTGAAATTTTGAATCTATGTAGCATCTTGGAGATACTCATTGCTTCCTTCTTCAAATCAAATGGTTTTGACAATAGGCCAAGTCCTGATTTTCTCATCACCTCCGAATGGGGCGGTTTTAATTTTATGAATCGCTATATCGGAGGGCGCTGTTATGGAAACGTCGACAGCGAGACAAATGCTAGCTACGGTTTTGCAAACCGCTGTAAGAAGAAACCGCAAGTTATTCGGCGAACCAAATGTGTTGTAAGATGTTCCCCATTCTTACTTTGAATTCACTCTAGGAACTATGATAACATTTATTTGATCTTCTTTTTAGTACAACGTTCATTTTATCTATGGTGGTCTACTACACGGATGGAAAAAATAGGGAAAGGCCCCTTTTTCTCCCCTTTTGATTCTTGGCACCGTGGTGGTGCTAAGCCGTCGACGAAGGGTTGTGCCTACTAGATATATAGTTGCCCCTTTCCCTTCCCATTGATCTCCTACCAGTTTACCCCCATCCGATCTATGGACACAAAACTTCTATTCGTGCAGATCTTGTGCTTCATTTTTGGTTTCTACGAATCTGAAATAACAAGCTCCTTTGGAAGCGCTGCATACTCTCTCTTCTTCCATGGATGGGCAACGATTCTTTTCACTTGACTTGGAGATTTTATCATACTACATTGCAGACGCGGCCATCCGTCTCAAGCTCCTTAACTGGAGGCCCATTTTGTTGTCTTTGGACACAGATCATCGGCAAGCAGGTCTTCAACATTGCTTTAGCTTCTACAAGGAGGTCACAGGCTCACAGCCCATCCAACGGGCTTATTCCTCTCCGGCGCATGTTGTAATACATGATCCTTGGCGTCGATGATCTACTAATCGTGTGTCTCAAGAGGCTGCTTGAGGAAGTCATCTTCGTCCTCCTTTAGGTTGTTGGTCATCATCTTCATTACCGGTGTGCGGCTACATGTTTTGCTTGATGGCGATTGTCGGCGGCAAGGCTTCAAGGTGGAGCAGCGTCGATCGGCTGTCCCAATGTTTGTTACTCGCGGCCCTCCACGTGTCCTCTCCCTGCATGGTTGGGTCGCATGTGTTTGCTGTAATATGCTCCTTGTAGGGTTGTATTCAGTTCTTTTAATCAATATCAGGCCTTTATTTTCGCAAAAGAAAAAACATCCACTCAGTCTCATAATGTAAGACGTTTTTGTACGAGATAATGTAAGACTTAGTATGACACTTAAGGTGTCTTAGATTCGCTAGTTGTACGGATCATATCGATTTTTCTTCAAGACCACATGGCTACATTTTATTATCACGCTCGTCTTCCATTGATACCACTCAATGTAAAAACATTGCACATACCATCAAACTATCTTATGCAGCCATGTTGAAAAAAGAGGGTTTATTCGTTCATTATTAATCCCATTTCGTTTTATTTACTACTCCCTTAGGAAACTAATATAAAAGTGTTTAGAATACTAAAATAATGATCTAAACACTCTTATATTAGTACGTCAGTCGGGCAAAGCTGCTGATTGACGGTCAGGCGATGCCGCTGGTGATCCCGAGCGCGACGACGGCGAGGCGGCCGTACTCCTTGTCGTGCCCGGCGACGGGGACGCCGCCAACGCCGCCGCGGCCTCCCCGCGCCTCCTCCTCGCCCTTCCACGCGTCCTCGCACCGCTCGGCGGCGCCCAGCGCGGCCGCGATCTGCTCCACGGCGCGCCCGTACACGCGCGCCCGGATGTTGTCCAGCGCGTCCCGCAGCACGTCGGCGGCGGCGCCGTAGAGCTCCGTGCAGCGGCCGAGCCTGGCGCGCGCGCGCGGGCTGCCCTCCGCCTCGCCCAGCCCCTCCATCCGCGCCTCCGTGGCCGCCGCATGCTCCACCGCCATCCGCGTCGCCGCCGCCGCCAGTGCGTGCATGTCCGCCGCGTCCCGGGCCTCCGCGTCGGAGGAGAGGGAGGCCACGCAGTGCGCGTAGTCCACCCCCGCGTCCCGGATCGCCGCGCCCCGGCACGCCTCCTCGATCCCCGCCGACGCCACCAGCACCGCCGCCTGCGCCGTGCGCGGCGCCCCGGCCAGGAAGAGGACCGCCACGGCCATGGCGGTGGCGAGCGCCGCCATGGACGTGGTGTGGACGCGTCCTCCTTGCTGCTTCGCCATGCTGCCTCGATGGTGCAGGAGCGTGGTTGTGCGCCATGGCTATTTATCACTTATGAGCTCGTACGTGGGGGTGAGGGTCCGTCAATGGAGGACGACACAGGTGTGAGGTGTCGGCCATGCCCCAAGCCGGAGATCGACCGTTGCTAATTCGGACATGAACGAACGACACAGAATGAATGGCGATTAATCAGGGCTCCTAATTATAGATGGAGTTGAGTGACACCATCAACCAACATCTCATTGTTTATCTCACTCTCATGTGAAGATCACAACTCTTCTCATCCAAATTTCCCACGGTACAGTACAGTGTTGATTAGTAGTTTCAGTTCATCATATTCTCTCTAGTTCAAAATTTCAAATGCGCGTGCCTTGCTGCAGTTCAGGCTTCGGTTCAGAGTCACACTCTCTCCTGCTGCTCTGCCACGTCTCCGTGGCCAGCTGCTGCTGCTTCGACCGTCTTCGCCGGAGCGGCGGTGGCGGCGGCGGCGACGGCGGCTTCCTCCCTCTTGCCCCACAGCACGAGGTAGAGGCCCAGGATCACCAGCACAGACCCCAGCACGCTGCAAACATCATGTCATCATCATCAGATCAGTCGACACTGAATGAGCTCACTGTGTGATGCAGAGCACTCTGACGAAAAATTCAGAGAGTGGGTTGAGTTTAATGGCGGACGGACCTGCCGAGGTAGAGGGGCTCGTGGAGGACGCAGAGGTCGATGCCGGCGACGAACATCTGCGCCAGCGGGCTGAAGGCGGCGGTGAACACCGGCCCCCGCTTCTCCACGCAGTAGGTCAGCAGCAGGTACCCGACCCCGGACGCCACCACCCCCTGCCAAATCCAAATCAACCCCCAATCAAAATCTTGCATCTTTAATCGTCAGGGATCGAACAAATTGAGCCCAATCCTTGACGGATCGACGGATCCCACGTACGCAGTAGACGACGGCGGCGATCTCGACGGTGCCGCGGAGCCGCCAGGCGGCGGCGCCGGCGCCCCACTGGGTGGATAGCGCCAGCGCCGCCGCCTGCGCGAAGCTGAGCAGCGACATGAGCGCCGTGGCCGAGTACACGGCCGGGTACAGCCGCGTGAGCCGCCGCTGCAGCAGCAGCCACCCCGCGAACCCCACCACGTTCGCCAGCATCGACGCCGACCCCAGCACCCACCGCGCCGCGCTCCGGTGCTGCTCCTCGACGCCGGCCGCCGCCGCCGCCGCCGCTGCCGCCGGAGGCAGGTGGTGGTGGAGGTGGTGGGTAAGGGACGCGCCCTTGTAGAAGGTGAGCGTCATGGCCCCCGTGAGGGACAGCAGCGTGCCGCAGATCTTGGCGCTCCCGGACTTGCTCCGAACCTCCAGCGTCTCATACCTAGCAGTAGCACAAATTATGGATGTAATTCATTTGAATTTGTCTGGTGTTCTAGTGATTGTGTTTGTGAATCACATGGGTGTGCAATGCAACTTATTAGCTTATGAAAAAGTGTTTGATTCTGATTCACATGATTTAGGAAATCATGTGTTAAATTTCTGTTCATAGGTGAAGTTATCGATGTGGTCCGTAAAGCCGAAGTCTTTTTCCTTTGCTGTTGGTTCAGTTCAAGATGCTACCATGTGCTAGATTTGATGAAAACAGATTTAAAAAGTAGTAGCACAGAATCAAACTAGCTATTAGGGTCTTGGTGCATTTCAAGGTGCTATTGTAGTAGTTTAATTAACGGAAATAATGTTAGAGGTGTTCAAACAGAATCAATTCAAACTTATAATAGTGCTACATAGTAGGATATGAAACTTTGCACATGACCTGCATGTAAGAAAATGACTTTCTGGACAGAAACAAAGGAGGAACATTTACCCACCCGAAAGCGAGTGATATCAGGAAGGTAACCACCGGGAGCAGATTGCCGAAGGTCGCAGCAAACGTTGCGGTCGTGTACTCCAGCCCGACGAAGAGCGTGTACTGAAGCAGCACCGGGCCGAGGATTCCACTAAGGAACAGGTACGCAAAGATTTCAGCAGTGATCTTTGGTCTTGTCTTCCTGAAAGGAGCAAAGAAGAAGAAAAAGGCCAGTTCATGTGCATGATCAGCGACAGTGAAATACCAACGACGACTACTGGTGCTAGTACTGGTACTAGCAGCTGCTTTTATCACCATGATGATCTGTTTCTGCCTTTGCTTTTGATAATAGTAATGATGATACCTTTCCTTGAAGTAGGCAATGGGGCCGAGGAATACAGTGGCCAGCATCTGCCTGAAAGTGATGAGGACCAGCCGGTTCATCCCCTGGCTCAGCGCCTGCTTGAGCAGCGCGGTCATGACGGCGATCACGACGTTCGTCGCCACCATCGCCACCGTCGGCGTCCACTGCTCCATGCATCCTGCACTCCACATTTTTTTCTCTCGGTCTGCTCGCCCGCCTCGATGATCTGATGGGCAATTTGTTTCTGGTTATGCCATGGTTTTTATAGGGGTGGCGACAGCCGAAGGTCCGGAAAATGGCATCTGAAGGCATGTCCCCGACTCGCGGTTTCGTTTTCGCACACGTGACCGGGGGCTAAAACATGGCCCGGGGGAGAGGAGCACATCGCTTGTTCTCTTAATGTCTGAATAATTGTGGAAAATTTGCCGTATCGAGCAAATTGCGCGCCCGGCTGAATCGAATTGCTGTCTCTTTATTGCACAGTGCGGAGGAACAAAGTAAGGCAAGCAAAATATAGCTTGTGATCCTTCCTGCATGGCCTTCTTCTACACTGTAGGGCATTGGATGCTGTCTTAGCACTGAAAATTTTGGCATGAGCCCGATTTAGGACCTACAAGGAACAATTTAGGGGAACGCCTTCCCATGAGAAAGTTCTGAGACCCAATGCCCACTGTCTCTTCTTTGGTGAGCAAAATGTTTCTTTAGGTCAAAATCAAATCGCAAAGCATTGATTCGATATAGCCGCCCCCACAGGACCGTGGGGTGGTCGTACAAAAATCGTGTGGAGAATATTTTCTTTTCTTTTCTTTTATTTCTTTTCTTGCTCAGTGTGACAGATGTGACCTTCTAACGTACTGAGATATGGGCAACCTATGCCCACCGCTCTTTATCACCTGAAGAATTTGGGCTTCATTTAGGCAGAAATTAGCCCGACGTATCGTCTCGTTGTGCGAGCGAAAACGCATATGACAACTGCATTACTAACAGTACTGTATAGCATTCCTCTTGGTTAAACTACGTAGGCGTAGGAAACCAAGGAGGAATATATGCCATAGTTTTACAATCTAAGAATTGCATAGCTTTGGTCCTCATGATTTGATTTGCTTCTCCTTATCCTCTTCCTCTTTGGCAGGTGGTACTGTCGCCGAGGCATCCCTGCTCTTTCCCCACAGCAGAATATAGAGGCCCATGATCATCAGTATGGATCCCAGCACACTGCAAGGCCAAAACAAAAATACAAAAGATGATGCCATTTGGACCAGGCATTGCAGTTCTACAAGTACAAAAGTGTAAAAAATCACTCATAAACTGAATATGGGAAATGAATGACTGATCATGATACCGTAGTGATTTAATAACTCAGGCAAGACAGGTTTACCTTCCAAGGTAGATGTTCTCATGGAGAAAGAAGAAATCAATTATGGCAACCATGATCTGGATGATGGGGATGAAGGCTGAAGTGAACACCGGCCCTCGCTTCTCCACACACCATGTCATCAGTACATATCCCACTCCAGACCCCAAGATTCCCTGCAACATATGGAACAAGTGGTCTTTGGTTCAGTCAATTCACTAGAGTTCTCTTAACTCTTTTTTCGGTAAACTGCAACAAAAAGATCTTACTGTGTATAGTACTGTAACAATCTCCACTGGCTTTGTGAGGACCCACACCGATGCCCTCCGCTGTATCGCCGCTGTCAGGCCACCTCCCTGCAGGGAGCTGATGAGGAACATGTATGCAGTGCTGGAGTAGAGTGCTGGGTACTTCTTGGTGAGCTTGGACTGCAGCAGGAGCCAAAAGGAGAAGCACAGGCAGTTTGCCAGTAATGCTAGAGTGCCCAGGGTCCAGCTCTTCTTGCCAGATTCTGCTGCTGCTTCTGCTTCTGCATGCTGGCCTGAAGGCTCTGCTTGGTGTGTCAAGGCCACACCCTTGTAGAGGGTCAGGAGCATGACGCCGGCGAACGACATGAGCGTCCCGATGATCTTCGCAGCTCCTGCCTTGTTCTTCATGTTCAGTGACTCCACCCTACATCCATGATGGGTAGTATTCCCAGAGGGAAGGTTTCAGATATTGGCAGGAGCAAGGTGCATGAGCAAGGTACCACCAGGTAAATTTGAAAATTGGTACACACACACACCTGAGCAAGACCGCGATGAGGAAAGTCAGCACTGGAGCCAGGTTGGTGAAAGTTATTGCAAACGTTGCTGTTGTGTACTGCAGCCCGTAGAAGAAGGTATACTGAGAGAGCGCGGCGCTAAAATGGGAGGAAAAATCAATGATGAATCAAACAGAATCATATCAGGAAGTGATTGCTGTGATGCTATGTTTGCCAACCGTACCCTAACGCTGCGCTGAAGAAGAGGTACACGAGGATCTCCAGTGTGAGCTTAGGCCGTGTGTTCCTGAAAGAAAAAAACAACAGTAGCATCATATTCTAGGATAAGTTCTGAACTCTGCTGATCATCTTCTGCAAATCAAAATTTATGCAGTACCGTTCTTTGAAAAATGCGACCGGAGAAAGGAAGACCGTGGCCACCAGTTGACGCAGCGTGATGAGCACTAGACGGTCGAGCCCTTCCTCGAGCGCCGCCTTGATCAGGGCCGTTGTCACGGCAGAGATGAGGTCGAAGACCAGCATTGCGATCACCGGTTTCCACTCATCGATGCGCGCCATCCCCCACATTGCGCTGCTGAATGAATCTTTGACACACCTTCCTTCACTTGTATTGCCATGATGATGCCCTTGTCATGGACTACTTATAGGCATATTTTACCAGACGGAGATCCTTCTGAAAATTAAAGAGATGTCACGGAGGATACGCAGCAATGACCCTTTTACCCTCCAAGAAAAGGTGGTAGTGATAACACATAATGCGATTACTTATTGGCATGAAACGGTCCATCTCGACATGTTCTTTTTTCCTTCAGTGCCATGAGAAGCTACTGGCACGAATCGCAAAGACATTTTGATTTTGGTGGAAGCATCTCCTCCGTTGCTGAGTTGGCGGTGACTGTGGAAAGGACTCCACTGCTTGCACACTTTGGTGGGTTTGGCAGGCCCTTGTTTGGGCTACAAAATTGACCCTATTCTCATCATGGCAAGGGCGATGCAGAGCTATTCAGTTGCGCAGAAAAGGCGGTGCTGTCCCGTCCGAGCGAATCCAAAGGAAAGCAGGATGGTGAGTTGTTAGTGGGGTGATCACCTAGTATGAAAGCTCCCTGCCTCATCCATCTCCCTTGATAATGGGAATTGGCGTGGCCGAGAGACGAGCAGCTCCCAGTTGCGAAGAGGAGCCGCGAAAGCGGGTTGTCGGTATGATGTGGCATTGGCGCACATGGTAGAACTACACTTTGCTGCAACTGCACATTACTTCTTGACCAGGAAACGGCCAGCAATGCCAGGCTAGCTCCTAGACGCAGCAATAAGAAAAACCTTCGTCGCCGACAACCGCTAGTAGATCCAGACCCGGTGCGGTGACACAAAACTAATTCCCCCAAGGTTTTTGCCTGCGCACATTGTGCAGCGAGCACCCGCCCACTCGTCGCTTTCTGCGGTAACGATGTTACCGCCGCTTGTTCCTACCGCAGGGGTACTGGATCCAGACAAGCTGCTGAATTGTGCATATTAGCATCCATGTTCAGGTAACTTACTGGATCACATATAAAAGCAAATTAACATTGTTCAGGAATTAGGATGGTGATTCATGAGAGTGCAAAGCAAAATGAACCTTTATCAACTGATTTGCATGCAGATCACAATCTAAGCCACATCTGCAGCCCTATCCTACTAGGCTTTAGCTGCCTGCAAGGACAGTTAGATGGGGAACAGTAGGGTGTTGTCCCAGTCACAGTACATGCCCTAAGCAAAAGCAACTTAAGAAGCAAAGAAAAGAGAAGGCACTGGCTTTTGCCATAGGCCTATGGCTGAGAAAAGTGCTGACTCTCCTCCATGCTGATAAAAAGCTGCCTTTAACCTGACACGAAAAAAAGGTCGTGTGTCAAAAAAGAAAAGGAGAAACTTGTCATTTGCATTTTATGAGAATAAAATGTTTGTATTTATCAGTGCATCTTGTAAAAAGAAGTTTTGTCAAAAAAAAAGGGAGAGATTTGCCTTTTTTTTAGAAGAAGGAAATATAATTGTTTTGAGAAAAAGGAAGAAATATAATGATTGTGTGTATCAGAGCATCTTGTAGAAAGAGAACTTTAACTAACTGGTATGATTAGCCTAGTGCCCAATGCAATCTACCGCAGATCGGATGCTAACCTTAACATCTGAGAGCCTAGTGCCTGTCACACTCATGGATAGCCTTAATCAGATGCTAACAAAATTCGCTGATTAAATTATCATTTTTAGAAGATCTTCTGGTCTTTTTGTATTGGGAAGCTAGACTCAGAAAGTAGCAAAGCACTAACCAACATTGTTTTTCCCATGTAAAGCCACAAAGAAAGGAGACCAGCTTCTGCTGTCATGATTTGGACCAAATGAGCCATGTGGAGGCGGTTCCTCATGTGCCATGTTATTGGATTTCTTGGGCCTACTGTTAGATGTAAATGGGTGGCCGGCACTTAAATATCATTCTGAATTCCTTTCTTAAGGGAAATTCCTAATTGACGCTCATTGTGTCAAGCTCCAGTCCGATTTTATTTCTTTTTCTGGTTTTAAAGTATTTTCTTATATTTTTCTTTTCAAGTTTTCCAAAAAGTTAGAAATGTACATGTTTTCAAAGAAGGTCCAATGTCTTAAGAAAACGTTTGGAATTATTTAATGTTCTTGGAATTTTAAAAATAATTCAAATTTTAAAAATGGTCTCAGTTTTTAAAATTATTAATGATAAAAAACTGTTCTAATTTTTTTAAACATGTTCATTAAAAACTGCTTCTCCTAGAAAATCAAAATAGAAACCGATAATGTGAGGAAAATAGAAAACCAAATTAACCAGAGATAGTGCTCGTTATAGTGCCTTGAAACATGTGTTGGCCCACCCGAGCACACACCTTGTAACCTGTGTGCGAGAGTCATGGTCGTGCCTCTTGGAAATGAAAAAAACACGTTTTCAACACATGTGCCTTGAAATTGTGCCTTCAAACGGTTGTGCTTTCGCGAGAGTCACGGCCGTGCCTCTTGGAAACAAAAAAAAACATGTTTTTTGTTTTTTTTCTTCCGCGAGAGGCACGGTTTTGCTTCCGCGAGAGGCACGGTTGTGCTTTCGCGAGAGTCCTTTTTGTTGGGCAGTCTTTTTTGTTCGTACCGACCCAAACGTACACAGGCGGACAAAATGGGTCGCCCCTTTGGAGTTGCTCTTATAGGATAAAAAAAATTATTCATAAAAATGTACAAAGTGCAAATATTAGGAACTCCAGCCACACAACGCTGATGGGTTGGTCCACAAAGCTGCAAAGAAGAGGCCGGAGATGTGCTAATGTGGCTTCACTTTCCGCGTCATGACCCGGTAAAAAACACAACAGACGACCAAGCATTTATGGACTAACAACAAAGGTTTTGAAAAATAGTTTAGGCCGCTCACCCAAATAGGCTTTTTCTTTTGAGAAATGCTCACCCAAATAGGTGAGGGCCTATGTGTTTACTGTCCATGTAGAAGACCTGGAGACCACAGGATTAAAGATATTCTCCCGACGGCGCCCTCGCTTCTAGCCAGATTAGGATGGCAATGGGTACCATTACCCGCGTACCCGGCGGGTAAAAACCTTATTAGGGCAAGGGTTTGGATCACAAAAATACTCATGGATACATAAATAGAAAAATTTAAAACCCATCGGGTTTGGTGGGTACGGGTATGGTTTAGTATAACCCATACCCGTGTACCCATGTACCCACGTATAATTGGATAAATAGGCCTAAAATATTATAAATCCACATATTAAATGTATTGTATCATTATGTGGACATAAATCCCGCAGCTATCCCACGTCCAGAATCCCAAAAGTGATACGTGTGTCTAGGTAATTGATGTCCAGAATTGCCTCGTTCCTTTTATGGTTATATCAACGTGATTGCGTGATTGACGTCCAAAATTATGTCGCATGCTTGTAGCAGCCAACGCCCAGCAGAATAGATCGATCTCATCTTCTTGGGCTCTCGGCTCTCGCTGCCGGCCGCCAACGCCAGCGCCTCCAGCCGCTTGCTGCCTCGCGCCACCATCATGGACCCAGAGGACGATGATGATAGCTCGCGTGTGGATGGGAACCGCAAGGATCTGCAGCTCGGCGACCACCACAGCGAGGAGCACAACACGCCAACACCGAGCCCAAGCCCAACCCTATCGTTGTATGGTGCCTTCCTCCTCGCGCGCCAGGAAAGAGCCAACTCCCCGGCCGACGTCAAGGTCTTCCACCTCATGCTCCAGGGTCCAAGGTGCAACACCATCGCAACACTATGTCCAAGACGTCCGTGAAGCAGGTACGCCCTAGCCTACTTAGCAATGGTCGATCTGCTGCCGCAAAGCACAAGAACAGGAGCATGGCTATTTCGGCTAGGAGAGTATCGATTTTCTTTATGATTTTATGATTACGAGCACCGATCTTACAGTTTGGAGATATTTGCTGTACAAGATGATGTGATGCATTCATGTAGATGAGCATTGATTTCTGCTGAGTAGACGTGATGTATATAGATGATGTGATGAATACGACTTTCTGTGTGTCATTGCGAGCTTCTTAAGTCTTAACTGAACCATGAAGTTTTAGAAAGAGGGATCATGCCGTGGTTATTGCTGCAGCAAAATGGTGACGAGCACTATTTGTGTTCAACGATTGTTACCACAGCATCCACCTCTTTTTGATAATTCATTATTTTGCACAGAGATACAGCTACGAGCACTCCGTGTGTAAAGTGATTATCTGAACCGTGAATTCTTTTGCTGCAGCAAGAGTGACGAGTTGTTCGTTTAGCTTCAGAAATTCTAAAAAAAATAGCAGCGTTATTTATCACATGAGCGTTCTTGTAGGGATTCTTGTGTGTAAATCCAAATGTTTTAGAGTGCAACTGTTCGAATGAAGTGTTGTTCTTGTGTGTAAATTCAAATGAAGTTTTGTTTTTTATAAATTATTATTATTATAAGTTATTGTTTGTGACTATGTAATGCTCAAATTGATGTGTTGCAAATATGGGTAATTTTACCCGCGGGTATCCATTTACCCTGACGGGTGATGGGTATGGGGAAAAATTGTACCCGTTGACGGGTATGGGTACGGGTGATGGGTAAGGGATGGGGTGGCTCCACCCGTACCCAAACCCGACGGGTGCCATCCCTAAGCCAGATCTAGGAACCCCTCGCTAAAGGGAAGAGCGAGATGGGCCAGCCCAGGCGCGCAGGAGCCCACAACCTTTTTTTTCATGTTTTTCTTTCTTTTATTTTTTTTTGTCAATACTTCCAAATCTACTAAGTAAATATATGAAAAAAAATACTTTGCGTAAACCATTGAAAAAATGTTGATCAAGCATTTGCAAAATGTAAAAAATGTATAGAGGAAATGTTTCTCATGTATATGAAAAATGTATACAGAAAAGTATACAACGTGTGTGAAAAAAGTTGATCACGGATTTAAAAAATGTTAATCTAAAAAATTGAAAAAAAAAAGCTGACATTGTATTCAAAAAACGATAAGATTGCATTTGAAAAATGTTAAATGTGTATAGAAAAAAGTTGACCGTGTATTAAACAA